GAGTGTCCAGTCAGTGTGTCTGTATGAACCCCTCTCTCTCAGTTCAGTGTTAATGTACTGGAGTGTCCAGTCGGTTGGTCAGTCAGTATTTATCTCTCTCCAGATGACCAGAGGGACGATGCTGACACTCTTTCTCTCCGTGTCCCACCTTTCGGCGACCCTGCCCCCCTCTCCCTGTCAGCGGGACGTCCCTGGGTGCCCCGAGTCCACAACAGCGCAGGACAGCAGCCTCAGTCTCGGCGCCCCTACGGTCACAGAGCGGGGCGCCCACGCGGCGCGCCCCCCTGCCTCCACACCGGGGGTACCTCCCTACCACAGCCCCCACCCCCCCACCCGCGCCTCCTGGGGGGGCAGCTCCTGCGGGGCGGGGTTCGGGTTCCGCGGGGTGCGCCTGACCTGCCTGGTGACCCTGTGGGCCCTGGGGGTCACGGCGGCCGTGTTCCTGGGGCTCACCGTCTTCCTGTGCGTGCGCCTCTCCGCCCAGCGGCGGGCAGGCAAGTGGCGGCTCCGCGGGCGGGGGCGCGGGGGCGGCCAGCCCACCAGGAGGAGAGGGGACCCCGAGGAGCCCAGCCTGTGGCTGCAGCCCCGGGTCACCCCGGAGCAGATCGCCGAGTTCTGGTACAGCGCCGGGACGAGAGAGGGGTGCGGCCAGGACAGGGACTGAGAGAGGGGGGGCAGCACGGGGGGCGGCGGCGACCTTTCGTGCAGGACCTTTCAAAGGTCAAAGGTCAGCGAGGGGCGGCTCTTTCAGAATCGGAGATCCGGGGCGGTGGCGCGAGGATGCGAACCCGGGACCTCCTTCTCGATGAGGATAACGAACCGGCTGGCCTGGGGGTCTCCGGCTCCAGCCCCCACCTGATTCGACGACCAAAACTGCGCACCCCTTCTCTGTTAATACCCCCCAAAATCAGGAACTGACCCCCTGCACCCCAGTGATTCTCAACTGGGGGATGTGGGGGGCACGTCATTGGAGACTTTGGGTTTTGGGGGGAGCAGCCCCATCCAGAGACGCGACAGGGAGGAGGTCAGCAGAAGAAATGGGGGAAAACGGGTTACCCCAGAACAATAAAACATTCCCATCTGGGGCTCCAGTTAATTGTCATTAATTTTATAAAAATAAATGTATAGTTATTATTTTTATTTTATTTTAATCATCATCATTATCACTCTGGGTGTGTGTGTGTGTGTCCAGTCGGGGTCCGTGGGTCAGTGGGTCAGGACCAGAACCTGCTTCGTTCAGCGCAGTCAAACCGGCCTTCCCGGGCCGGACCCCTGAAGATCCCCTGAAGACCCCCAGGACGGCCTGGGCAAGCGGGGAGGGAGGCAGTGGTCACTGCTGTCTCACAGCTCCCGGGCCCTGGGTTCGAATGTGGGCCAGGGGACATTCTGTGTGGAGTCTGCATGCTCAGCCCGTGCTCATGTGGGGTTCCCGCCAGGGGCTCCGGATTCCTCCCAGAGGTCTGCAGGCCGCACAGCGCACACACACAACGTCACAACACCCACACAGGCAGGCCGTACAGCAACCTATCACAACCCCACACACCCTGTTCCCAGCTGTACTGAGGAGAGAGGAGGGAGACAGGAGGAG